ATCTATGGATGCAAGCCAGAGTTTTGGTCGCTTTACTAGCTGCAGCATCACATTGCAGGCTCATGTTCATATTGTGGTCAATGATGACCCCCAAATCTCTCTCTTCCGTAATGCTAGCCAGTGTAGCATTGCCGAGCCTGCAAGGATGCTGCAGGTTTTTTTCCCCCAAGGTGGAGAACCTTGCATTTTTCGGTGTTAAACACCATTGGGTTCTCATCCGCCCATTTGCTGAGCCTGTCGAGGTCAGCCTGGATCGCCTGCCTGTCTTCTGGTGTGGATGCTTTGCCCCAAAGTATGGGGTCATTGGCGAACTTGGCCAGTCCACTTCTGACTCCAGTGTCCACATCATTAATGAAGATGTTGAACAATATGGGTCCAAGGACAGAGACTCACCTTAATAAAGAAGTTGGAGAGTTTCAGGGGCAGGTTCCCTCCTTCTGCTTCTATGTGATATTTCATAAGAAAGCCCATCCCTCTGATACCACTAATGGCAATGGGAATCTGTAGTACAAAGAAATGGTGCATATTATATTTCTTACATAAGCATCTAGAGGCCCCTATGTAGGCCCTACAATATGATCCTTATGGCAACTCAAAAGAAGAGCTTGGAACATACCTATGATGGTCACTCAGCCACAAACCTTCCTCCTAAAATGACAGTTTCTCTATCCGTACTAAACCTATCCACTGATTACCTGAGCGCTTTAATAGGGTGATGTGACATGTATTTGTTCATATTAGAAGCTGATTTGTTAATTTAAACAACTTTCACTAAAAGTAATTTTTGGAGGAAAGAGTTATGAATGGTTCTGTGATGCACCTCCCAAACATCCTCTGGATTCAGTATATAAACCACAGAAAGAAATCTCAAATTTAGACAACCCAGAACAGTTTCGACTTCCTACATACAAACACACGCCAATAACTGCAGAATAGCAGGAATCAGGAGACGTTCAGAATACTGTTCATCTCTTTGTGGCTCAGCTTTCAAAACAAGCTGAGAGACTTTGGTGCTTGTTTTGTTAGGTGCCTCATCAAGTTGCATACTGGGTTGTATTAGCAGGCATGTCTCTTGTAAATCAAGGGAAGTGATTTTCCACATTACTGGCACTAGTGAGGCCTCACCTGGAGAACTGTGTCCAGTTTTGGGTCCCACACTTCAAGAATGATGTGGACATTTTAGAAATAGTCCAGCATAGAGCAACAAAAATGATTAGGGGCCTAGAAGACAAGACTTCTGATGAAAGGCTGAAAGAGCTACGGTTATTTAGCCTGGAGAAGAGAAGACTTTGTGGGGAGGAGGCAGGGAATTTGGTAAGTCTTCAAATACCTGATGGGTGATTACAGAAAAGATGGAGATGGGATTTTCTCCATGACCATAGGGGACAGAATTAGGAGCAATGGTCTCAAACTGCAGCAAAGGAAATTAGGAGATTAGGAAGAACTTTCTGACTGGAACAGGCTACCTAGAGAAATTGTGGAATCTCCATCCCTGGACATTTTCAAGAGCAGATTAGATAGATGTTTGACTGGGATGGTTTAATCAGGGATGATCCTGCCTTGAGCATGGGGCTAAGCTACATGACCTGAGGTCTCTTCTAGCCTTACTTTCCTATGATTTGCTCGGCAAACTTTAAACTAATTACAATGAAAGAGACAGAATACTCATGAAATAGCCAATAGTGCTTACCCTGTCTGCCGTGGCATTGCTGAAGATCATCTCCTGAACAGTGTTATAGTATCTGGGGAGACAGAGTCTGCTGGGAGCTACATTTACAGCCACAGACAGTGCGAGACTTCGTCCATGTCTCACCATCCAGTCAATTCCAGAGACATCAGCTACAATGAGAGGAACAGAGTAGTAGTGAGGCCCCCTTCCAACCACTCTACCTGATCTAACTGAGCTCAGTCACCTATTTCATGTCCATTTGCACAAAAGGAAATACAAAGCTCTTCAGCATTGCTAAGCACTAGAGAAATGCTAATTAAAACCTAACATTGCTGCAAGGAGGTGAAAGCCATTCTGAAGATTTGGAAGCTAGTGCTAAGTGACTTTGTGCTTCTGATGATTTCCATTTGATATAAACACATATCCACTTACATGTGTGGAGACTCTTGCCATTGGAATTTATGTCTACATTATGAAATCAAAAAGAGGGGGGAGGGGCAGCTACTGGAAAGCAGCTCGTGGATCCCCATTTTAATTCCACAGAATGGAATACTATAATATGTCCCAAACCATTAACAGCTCCTAGAAAACCAATGCTTCCAGGAGATGCAAACAAAGGAGTTAATGCGCCAACCACAGTCTGAAGAGAAACTGGCAGGTTTAGAAAACCAAACTGTTTTATAGAACCAAAGGTTTCTATAAAACCTTAATTTCTACAGCATTTTTTAATACCTCTATCAGTTTAATATGCTAAGGCCTTAGCTGTACTACCATTCAGCTCTGCATCTTTTAATTGTATTCCAATCAATTCTGGAAGCCCCTACAGGTATAGCTTGGCTGCCTCAACTCCCAAGAATAACCCTTGAGCCTCCATCTCAAGGAATATTTCCACAACCAAAATAAATCGGCTTCCAAAAATACTTCATCCTTTGACAACATTGTGGAAAAGATCAACCCCTCAAAAACATCAGATTGGACACCTCACAGTGGACAAAATTCAAACCTTGACCACTATATTGACTGCTTGAGGAAAAGAATGAACAATGAAACAATCAACATGCCAACGTAACAACCTCTCCCTCTCAGACAGAAGGGCCACAGAATCTCTAAGATCCAACCACACAATAGTAATAAAACCAGCAGATAAAGGAGGAGCTATAGTTTATCCTTAACCATGAAGACTACATTAAAGCCAACAGACAACTCTCTGACACCACCTATTACAAAAAAACTAGAGGAAGATCCAACTCCCCTTTTCACCTTAAAACTCAAAACCAGCATCAAATCATTTCCATCTGAACTGCAAGAAAAACTACTGAACTTGATCCTCGCCCACTACTGAACTCAGGGACTTTTTACATGCTCCCTAAAATCCATAAACAAGGGAACCCAGGCAGACCTATCATATCCAACCACAGAACCCTAATTAAGGAAATATCAAGTTTCATCGAGTCCATCCTAAAACCTCTTGTCATTCAAAGACTGAGTTTTGTCCAAGAAACAACAGACTTTCTACAAAAACTTAAAAACAGAGACTACCTTCCGAGCGACACCCTCCTAGCCACCATGGACATTACCAGCTTATATACCGATATCCCACACCAGAGCGGCAGCCAAGCCTGCCTTACATACCTACAAGAAGAACTTAGAGCACAGACCTGAAGATATTACTGAACTTATACATTTCATCCTCACACACAACAACTTCACTTTCAATAACTAACACTTCTTCCAGACCATGGGCACAGCTATGGGCACCAAAATGGCCCTACAATATGCCAACAGTTTTATGGGCCACCTGGAAGAAGAATTCCTCCAGAATTGCACCAAACCTATGCTATATTTAAGATATGTAGGTGACATCTTTACCATTTGGACCAAAACCCTGCAATCTCCGATTGATTTCCATCACAAATTCAATAATCGTTACCCCTCCACCAGACTCTCTCTTGAATACTCCAGCACCAACATTTCCTTTTCCTATGATCAATATCCAGAATGGTAAAATACAAACCACCATATACAAGAAACCCAGACCAACATACATATCTGCACAGAACCAGCAATCACCCTAAATACACCAACAAAGAAGTGATATACAGCGAAGTCCTCTGATACCACTGAATTTGCACCCAGGAGAACGCCTGTGATAGTCACCTCACAAATCTCAAAAGGACTTTCACTCAACAAGGACACTCCTCCAGAGAGAAAGAGCCTTTTGAAACAGCTACCCAAATACCACATGAAGAATTGCTGCAGTACAAAAAGAAATCCCCACGAATTGCACACCATTACTTATGGCATACCATTCCTCCCTGGAATCTATATGGAAATTCCTCAAACAACTGCAACCCATACTAGAAGACCAAATTCTTAAAGAGATCTTCCCAGAACCACCCATCCTAGCCTTTAAACAAGCATTGAATCTTGCCCATCTCTCTTGACCAGAAACAAATTCCTATGGCCCAAAACACACCAAATGGATCCAGGTCATGCGGGACAAGAAATGTAAAACCTGTGAATATATCTCCACCACTCCCACAATAACTGCACTCCGAGAACCAGCATCATTCCTGGATCTTACACCTGCACCTCCAGAAATGTAATATCTCATCCAGCGCACTAAATGCCCTGATGGAAAATATGTAGGAGAAACCAAACAACAACTGCATACTAGAATGAACACGCACCAAAAATTTATCAAACACAAAAATATCCAATTACCTGTGGATGCACACTTCTCAAGACAACCACTCTCTCCAGTCTCTCAGTTCTAATCCTCAAAGGGAATTTACAAAACACCTTTTGTAGACAAACCTACGAACTTCACTTCATAAATCAACTGTCTACAAAAAAGTCATGGACTGAATACAGACATTGGATTTATGGCACATTATAACCTGCCTACCATCCAATAACCCTAGGTACTATCTCTACATTTTACCAGCTACATTATATCACCAGGTCAACATTCCCTTCTTCACCCACCTCCTCACATGCCTCACACTTAGCTCCTATGGCCTCTGATCCTCACTAACACGTTCGCATTTTCACAGACCTGCATTTTGCATATTGGCTTCTATTCCATCTAGAAGAACACAAAACAACAGTAGACTCTCCCTATGCTACCAGAAGGGTGTTTGTGCCTGAAAGCTTGCAAAGAACAAATTTTCCAGGGCAGGGTGAGAGCAGGACCGCAGAGACACTGCGCTGCCACCATTCACCATGCCCTTGCTCTGTGTCTGGCTGCTCACCAAGGCCCCCTCCCCCTGCTCCATGTCCGGTGACTCACCACTGCCCCCCCACTCCGCATCCAGCTGCTCACCCCCCCCTTCCCCTGCCCAGGGGGTACACTTACTAAAAAGAAGGCCACCGGGGGTACACTTATTAAAAAAGGTTGAAAACCTATGCCTTAAATCAACATAGCTACAAACAGCATGCCAAAAAATAATGCCAGAATCTACTGTGGGTAAGACAGCACACAAATCACTGGGACAATAGTGGGCAAAGATACAAGTGTGGCTCCATAGAGAGGTTCAGCTTCAGGGAAGAGAACCCAGAATACAAATCGAATTCTCTGGGTCCTGTCGCTGGGAATGACATACAATGCCAGGGATTTTTCCTGCTTAGTTCAGGAAATGACTACACCTATCTGCCAGACCTACCCAGCAAATGTTGTTGGAGAACAGAATTGAGCTCCTCTTCTGAGAGAAATGCACACAGCTCTGCTAGACAGCCAGCAGATGCCATGCGGGTGGTATCCTGACAAGGCAAAAAAGGAATAAGGTAAAGATTAGGAGTTTGCTGTGCACAAAAAATTTCCACTGAGAACAACTGACAAAAAAGCTATGAAAAGGAAACAAAACAAAATGAAAGACAGAAACTTGCAAGCACCCTCCTACCATCTTTTGTCTATTTTAATCAACTCCAAGTTTTCTTGTTCACTGTAAGGTAATTTAAAACCAAGTCCACAGACAAAATACCCAGATAAGTGGAAAGCATAGCAGTATAGTGCCTACATTAAAACACTGTGTGAAAAATAAATGGTTTTCACCTTCATGAAGTTTTTCCACTTGTGTGAGAAATGAAGCATTAATGCCTGCTGTCCGTCTGCAAAACCCCATTGCTATTGGCTCACATGGCTTGCTTCAGAACTTTTCACAGTTACAGTTACTTTGCCATGCTAACGGCACTAATTTGCCATTATGTCCACCCAGACCTTGACATTTATATCACTGAACCACACGACTGGGCTGCCCAGATGAAGAGAAATGTGAGAGTCACCACGGAATGTAACTTCATGTTTTTAAAACCTCGGATTCCAGACTCAGGATGTAGATCAATATCCAGTGAAACTGATAGAGAAATGATAAAGTTGCAACCCTTATTTCTGCATAATTCTGCAGCAATACAGGTGTAATAAAACAGTTGTACCTTCTACCATGTTTCATTCAGAGTCAAAGTTAAAATGATCTAAGCAAACTGTATCACTAACGGATCAGATAAAGGTTAGATTGTAACAGCACACTTGCAAACTGCAAATCCTCCTGGCATTTTAAAGCAATTAGAAAGAACATTTGTCCACACCAGTGATTTTTCAACCAGGGTGCAGATCCTTTCAAGGATGGCATTGGGGGGGGGGGCCTAAACAGTATTAGCACTGTTAGGTGTGCAAACATGATTCACAAGGTCAACCCAGAGATTTCAAATAGAAATTCATAGTGTTAAAAACATTCTACCTTCTTGTGGTCTTTCTGAGTTCTTTGCAACAAAAGAACTGTGCTATTGTTTTTCTAGTTAAGACATGAAGAAAAAGTAAGAGCTGGCATTTTCTGGGGTGTGTTTTGAGCGTAGGAAGGTTCAGAACCACTGGTCCATACCCTCCATGTTATAACCTGTATGATGCAGACCATGCTGACTTAAAGTTGGATAAGTTCTTGGTCAGTGAAAATGAAACCACAATGAGGTCATCTTCATCTTGAGCTGCTCAGACTCCCAAGCCTATGGGCTATGTGGCTTGCAGAGCCATGTCATCCAGTCTACCAGGTGCCCCATAGGCCCAAAAATTTGGCAGTGGGGGTGGAGTGGTAATGCTGTTACCCTGCTGCCCAATTTCCAGACCTATGGGGAGCCGAGCAGGCCAGACAGTGTGTGGCCCTGCTCATTAGATAGGGCATGCAGGGCTGGGCCAAGGAGGCATGGGGCTGGATATGGGCACACAGGACTTGATTCAGGTGCACAGGGCCTGGATGGCACGAGACCCAATTAGGCATGCAGGGCTGGACTGAGGTGGCACAAGGCCCAATCTTGCAAGCTGACCCAGTGAGGGTTCTGTCCCATGGACTGGCTCCACACCACTCATCCAGCGAACGAGGCCAAAAGGTTGAGCACCACTGATCTGCACTAATTGAGAGCCTAAGATTATACATGTGCTTTTACAGTCAGATGGAACATATCCTCTTGTCTTCAATCTGATGCTAAGTCTGTAGTTTTCCATTGCTTCAATAAACATAATAAGAAACTGGAAATCAGCCCCCACCTCGTAGAAACACAGAGCTGCTACGGAAACACTTATTCAATAGATTTTAAGAGTTATAAAAATTGGCCAGGAAAGTATCATATTCTTGACTAATGTTTGATTCTCAGCAACTGTACTGGAAGGTTGCAAAGTGATTTCAGTTCTTAGAGATTAAGTTCAGTTTAGCAAGCAATGCATAGTTTCAACCTTCTTTTACATAAGCTTCGCTCCACTGTATTATTTATAAACTCCTCCAGGAACCTATTTTAGGAAATAATTCTGTTGGAAGGTTCAGAGTTTAAATTAAAAACAACAACAACAACATATGCATGAGAAATCCCTACGGTTCTTCGTACCTCATCATGTCCCAGCATTCCTAGAAGCACTGTGCTAATGTTCTTCCTAATTGCTGCATCCACTTTTGCACCAGCTCCTTGAGTTACAAATCGCAGAGCTTGCAGCATTGTGTCTCTGCAAATGAACAACCAGAAGTTACAGTCAGAGGCTGCCATTTTTCCCTAGAGAAGAAACCAGGTGTCAGATGCCTACAGAGGATCCACACAAAACAATTATTGTATGCACGTGCTTAAACTTGAGAATTTCAGTTTCTCTCCGTGACAAAGTTCACCAGTACTGAAGGAAACTGGCATTCCGTTCTTACTGCTGGAAAGTTTTTGACCATTTACAAAGATAGATAATTCTCTTCAGCTTATTTCTGATTTCCTGGGGAGCTGTGCATTTCACTGACAGATATTCTTGGAACGAAGAGAAAAGACCCACCAGGTCTATACAGATTAAAACAAAGATTAAGAGATAAAAGGATGGAGTCCTTCAGAGAATTCATGCACCTACCTTCTTCTCTATATTCTATTAATCTATCATGTTATGACTCATGTTATGATCTAATTGGGGATGGTCCTACTTTGAGCAGAGGGTTGGACTAGATAATGTCCTACGGTCCCTTCCAACTCCAATTTTCTATGATTCTATGACTGTTTTAAAAACATTTCATTTTTAAGGACCCTCATTCCACTACTGCTAAGTAATTTATTTTATAAAGTTACTGCTAAAGTAACTTTAGTCCACTACTGCTAAGTAAGTAACTGCCCATCTTCCAAAACTTACCTGATGCCAGAGTCCTCACTGGAACGGATTCCATTCAATAGCTCAGTAAAGAGAGGATCAACTTTAACATGGATGACAATCAATTTACCAAGAGCATCTGCAGCCTTAAGGCGGACAGTACGGTTTGAATCTTGTAGTGCCTTGATGAAGGTAGTTTGCAGCTGAGGCAGGAATGGTTTCAGGGCAATTCCAACCTGTATGGATAGATATTGGGGGTAAGGAGGGGAAATCACTTATATTCAGGTTTGAAACAAAAACCAAGAGGAGTATGGCCTCTTCTAATAGCTCTCAGGTATACATGATAAAATCAGCACTAGTTCAAATCTCCATCACACACAACTAGAGGATAGAAAACAGTGAAAAGATTGACTACAACTGTCAGAAAACAGAAAATTAAACATTTAGGTCTGTACTGGGTTTACTTTCATGACTTCCCCACCTATTTTAATTTTCTGTAGAATTAGATACAACAAAACACTCAAGGTTTTTATGCTGATTATACAAATGTATTATTTTAACAAAAGCACAATAATTAAAAGCTGGGGTATTTGGAAAATGTTAACTCTGGACCAAGTTTATATTTGACACAAAGGGAAAACAAAGCAGCACATTTACTTCCAAATATCTGGAAGAGGAGTCAGTTTTAATGAGGCTCCTGAAAGGTTTGGTGACAAAAGTACTGCTTTTTATGTAGGCTGGAGGATGCTGGAAGAAAAGTCATTTGAAGGGCAGTTCCAAAGCATCAAGTCCAAACCACAACATGTTCCTGGAATGATTTATGTAGGTAACATGCAATACACTGGCAGTTCTGAATTCAATACAATGCTATGAAGATAACCTTGGAAAAAGTTCTCAAACTCCAAGGTCTGTCAGTGGCTTTTAATCTTACCTTTGCTAAGAGAAGGCTTAATGTTTCAAGCAAAGCCACCTTGACATTCCAGCTGAATCGATCTCCCAAGATCCGGATGAGTGGTCCAGTAATGCTCACCACAGAGGGCTTCAGGGCTTCCGCAGAGGTTAGTTTAATAACTAGTCCTAAGGCTTTAGCAGCTTCCTCCTTCTGCTCAGGGTTCCCAGTCAGAACCCCCTCCCGCAGCACTGGAAGAATGGATGTCACACCCTGTTGGGGAATTAAACAATTCAGAAGCAAAAAATGCACAAAGTGCCTAACTTTACTTTTCCTTTCACCATTCACTGGAGCAACACACTTGATTTTCTCAGTGTTCCACTGATCTCCTATTTGTGTCATTTCTAGCAAAAGTATTTTTACTCAGTTTGATTTCAAGCACTTACACCTCACTTCAAACCACTTGCTGCTTAAGCTGTTTTCAGCCTAAGGGACATGGCAAAAAGTCCCGTGCCATACTTCCATGAAAACAGGTAATTCATGACTAATATGCATTAGAATTGTCCAAATTTTACTTAGGACTATCTAGGGTATCAAGCACATGCAACAACACACTGACAATCTCTACACCCGTCAGTTTGGAATGTTGTACTATCTAATATTCAATAAAAAATGCAGCAATTAGTTTTTTGGAAATATAAGATGGTATCACTGTGATGAATCTCAGCTGCAAAACCACATACTCATCTTATGTCATTTACCTTCTTTGGAATACAGAATCCTGGCACGTGTTCTCCTTTGGCCTCATTTCCTACAACCCGGATGTCCCTGTGTAGATCCTCAATGAGGGCAAGCTGGTTCCCAGCATCTAATTTCTGTAGGAATAATACAAAAGATAAAGACTGGATAGCAGCTTGATTATATAATTCTGGTTGCACTTCCCAAGAGATAAGCTGCTGCCACTTTTATGCCTGTTTCTTCCCAGTATCTGGCTATTCACTCATACGGATTCAATCTAGTGCAATCCTTTAAACAGCGAATCTCAATCTAAGTGCCATAGCACCCTAGGGTGCCTTGAGATCCCTTCAAGAGTGCTGTGGGGTGCTGTATGTTAGCACTATTAGGTTTGCAAACATGAGCTGCTTGCAGACATTTAAAAAAACAAAATAAATAGTGCCTTACTTTTAACTCTGCACGCTCCCACACTAAACCCAGCCATTCCCAGAAGAGGCATTGTGTTAGTTGGAACCAGCTCGCCTGACATCTGGACAGATTGGGCACTTTGGTGGGGCTTTTTTGGTGCTTTTATCTAATAGGTGATTGGCTGATTGCTTAAATTAAAGCACCATTTTGTTATGGGTTTTCTTAACATCTGCTGCAAGCAGCCTAAGAACTGGAATTTTTGGAGGTGTGTCTCGAGTCTATGGAGGGTACTAAGTCTATCCACAGGTGCCTCAAGTCTAAAAAGGTTGAGAGCTACTGCCTTAAAAATACTTTCATCTTTATAATAATGGCCTGACCTCCAATTAAACAGTGGGCTTACTTTTAGCAGTGTTTTATCAATCTGTTCCAGGGGTGGGTAATTATTTTGGGCAGAGGGCCGCTTACTGAGTTTTGGCAAGCCATCGAGGGCCGCATGACCGATAGCCCAAGGCAAATTAATATTAATTTTCTAAATTTTTTAGGGGTCCCGCAGGCCGGATAGAATGGTCTGGCGGGCGCCAGGCCGCATTTTGCCCACCCCTGATTTATTCCCTTCTAGCCTTTATCACTGCAACAACCTCAACCCATAGCTCACCTTGGTAATGGAACTGAGAGCATCCCAGCTTTCATTCAGAACCACAGGGTTGACATCATTAAAAAGTCTGAGCAAGCCTGAGACCAGGTTCCTGAGATGACCAGTATAGTCTGCTTTTGTCTTGGAACAGTAGATGTTTAGAATGACCGCTGCTGCCTGCCTCATTCCCACCTCAGGGCTGCGAGTGGCTTCTAACAGATCCTCAATAATAATCCTCTGTCCAGCATCGTCTTCTACAGACAGAATTACAACCTGGCAATTAGCCATCTCCTTAAAAAAAAAAAAACCAGGATGAATTTTATATTAACTTTCAACCAAAGAAAATCCACACTTGTCTTGCAATGTTTTGCTCCCCATTGCATCCACTAGGTAAATTGTATATAAGAACCTACTAATTCCTGAGCATGGAAATCAGTCAAAGGCCCCCATTATCATAGTTTTACTGGCATCAGAATCAACGTGATTAATGATGTGGACATTGGAGTCAGAAGCGGACTGGCCAAGTTCACCGATGACACCAAACTTTGGGGCAAAGCATCCACACCAGAAGATAGGTGGGCAATTCAGGCTGACCTGGACAGGCTCAGCAAATGGGCGGACGAGAACCTGATGGTGTTTAACACCGAAAAATGCACGGTTCTCCACCTTGGGAAGAAAAACCTGCAGCATCCTTACAGGCTCGGCAGTGCTACACTGGCTAGCACTACGGAAGAAAGAGACTTGGGGGTCATCATTGACCACAAGATGAACATAAGCCTGCAATGCAATGCTGTGGCTAGTAAAGCGACCAAAACGCTGGCTTGCATCCATAGATGCTTCTCAAGCAAATCCCGGGATGTCATTCTCCCCTTGTACTCGGCCTTGGTGAGGCTGCAGCTGGAGTACTGCGTCCAGTTTTGGGCTCCACAATTCAAAAAGGATGTGGGGAAGCTTGAGAGAGTCCCAAGAAGAGCCACGCACATGATCAGAGGTCAGGAAAACAGACCTTATGATGACAGGCTGAGAGCCATGGGGCTCTTTAGCCTGGAAAAGCACAGGCTCAGGGGTGATCTCATGGCCACCTATAAGTTTATCAGAGGTGACTACCAGTATCTGAGGGAACGTTTGTTCACCAGAGTGCCCCAAGGGACGATGAGGTTGAACGGTTATAAACTACTGCGAGACAGTTTTAGGCTGGACATAAGGAAGAATTTCTTTACTGTCCGAGCCCCCAAGGTCTGGAACAGCCTGCCGTCAGAGGTGGTTCAAGCACCTACATTGAACACCTTCAAGAGCAAATTGGATGCTTATCTTGCTGGGATCCTATGACCCCAGCTGACTTCCTGCCCTTTGGGTGGAGGGCTGGACTCGGTGATCTTCCGAGGTCCCTTCCAGCCCTAATGTCTATGAAAAAAAAAATGTCTATGAAATGCCTTATTATGAGGGTATTTCAGAAAGTACCAGCAATTTTAATATAAAACCATTTTGTGTGCAACAATCATTTACTGGACCATATCACTTCTCTATATAGTCATAAATGATGGGTGCCATCAACAATGCCATCATCAGCATTCCCTGTTGCTCTGTAGCTTCCCACTCATTGCACACAAACTGTTATTTCAAAATTGCTATTAGTTTCTGAGACACCCTCACAGTAACCCATTTTTAGTGTGACTGGTCTTTAGTAAATGACAAGGCTAATTCAGACACTATGGATTGAACACAATTTTTGAGGAGAAAAAAAGTGTCACAGATGAGCATCTCTAAACCCAACAACTGCCCAACTGAGAAAAGCCATATTAGCTCTCCAGGTGCTAAAGCTATATATTTTATATACAATATAAGTGACTACATTCTGCTGCATCTTCAGTGTAGCTTCATCCCTCAGAGACCACATGGCCAGGTATACATTGCTTCATCTTGATCCAAACAGTTCAGTGGTCTGTATCACTACACTTAAAGTCAGGTCAGCTGTGGGCACTGCTGGAGAGCCATATGGCAACCTCTGGGCTGGGAGACCAAGAGATCAGCTAACAGACATGTAAGGGCAGACAATGAATGGGATTATCCATAACTTCCATTTCGTTTCACCAATCCAAACAGTAAAAAAGAATAAATAAATCATAGCCCTCAGGCATAGAAACACTAGAGACCAACTATGAGATATTTTTGAAGTCACAAGAAGTAGAAGCAGTCATAATTGAGAGACGAGAAGTACTTTTATATTCCCGCATATAATGCGCTCATTTTGTAATATTATGGTCAAATCCAGTTGACTGGACACATAGGTGGTTCTCCAGAATCAAAATGGATACAAAAACTTGTATTGCAGTAGGCCAAACCTATACTTATTTGAAACATTAAGGTTTGGGTAGTAAGTACTTCCCAACCACAACATACTGCCAGTCAAAACAGCAAAGGGCGGAGGGCTTAATGGACTGAAATAAAGTGTACAGTAACAGAAACACTGCTTTTATAAATGAACTTAAAATACTGCCCTAAGATGGCCCCTCTAAAAAAAGGGTGAGAGGGGAGGAACTACACTACTTACCAGTTGCTCATCACTGGTCCCCAGCTTCTCTTTCAGTGCAGACATCATAGCAGGTAGGATTACAGTCAGGTGCCGGGTCAGTGCATCACCTGCTACAGATGAGAGGAAGGCTAGCACTCGCGTGTTCACAGGAGGAGCAATTAGCTAAGGGAAACAAGTTAAACAATAAAAATTTACTCCAATGAGATTTTGTCAAAGGATTCTCACTTAATACAAAAGTCACAACAATTCTTAAACACAGACACATTAGAAACCAGTGATAATTAATGCTTTTAGAAAGTAACTGGCAAAGAATTTCAAGACCGTTCCCTATCTTTGAACATCAATACAGAAAATGTTTGAGGGAAGAAAAAATGCCATCACCCTGCAAAATGTTAGATGTGTTCCTCAACTTACCTTTGGCACCAAGTAAGGCAACACTACACGGCTCTTAACAGCCATAACTTGCTTAAGACCATCCAGAGCAAATTCAGATGTCTCTTCAATGTCCTAAAGAGAGAGTACAGGAAGTTAACCAGCTTGTTAACCAGGATCATTTTGTTCAAAGCAAACTAGACCTTGTTTCAAGTGACAATTTATGTGATTAACATACACCGATTAGAGTCCCTCCATCTGAGGCTCTCAAAAAATTTTACAAATCATGAAGCAAGCCCTCCAAACAGGTCAGGACACATCTTCATAATAAGGCATAAAAAATAAGCATATCACCGAAGTGACAGTGGAAAACTGATGCAGAACCAGCCATATACTCTTATGTTTTAATTTAATTCTGTTCTTTAGCCATAAAACCATTCCTCTCCCTCCTGCAGAAAGGATGAGTCCAAAGAGGAAATGAAATAATTAGACCTATCATTCACCTAAGCCCTAGCAGGACAGATCAACTCCTCCTTCAGCCTCTACTGAGAATTTCAAAACCCTGTCCCACAGCAAGATTTCTAATAATTCTGTTTTCTAATGTTTGAATCACACTTACCAGCTGTTTCAACAAAAATGGCAAGATGTCTTCAAGCGCCTGGTGTCCAATAGTTGAATGCAACTGTTCAAATGTTTTGGCTGCAGCTTCTCTGACTTCTTCAAGAGGGTCACAAAGAGCTTTCCTCACTGTAGGAACCAGAGACACTGAGAAAAACAGCACCTACAAGATACACAGACACAATTACAGGACATTTAACCATGAGAGCCAAAGCACAGCTGCACCTCAATAGAGCAGCTGGAAACATAGAACTAGCATAATAAAAATAAATTGCTATTTATTTTTAGAAAATTAGGATTCATTTGTATGTAAACATCTGTAATATTCCTTGGAAATAAAGGAGTTTTCAACTACTGTAGCTTATAATGTGAAGAAAGACTATGTCATTTTAGGATTGTAATATATACACATTTTTACACGCACACACACACTTTTCACCTGGACAGTAACTCCATGAATCAGGTTTGCTACTATATCTTCATGCTCTGACTACAAGGTATGCATTTTATAGCATCACAGTGGCCAAGTAATTTCCCCTCTGGAGTTTAACTTACTGCATCCCTGCTTGTGGATTTCATGATCTCACTCAAACCAATGCAGACACCTTCCCTCTCATCACTCTTCTCTGATCGCAAGCCCTCTTCCAGGATAGGGATAATTTCTGGGAGGATTTTTTCTCCCAACTTTCGGACAAGATCTCCCAGAGTTCGGGCTGCAATCTGCAAAAAATAACGCAACAGTCACTTTGAACAATTAGAACAAACCAACTAACTGGAACCGTCTATTCTATGAAGAGTAATAGTCCAAGAGACCTACGACTCTGTACTCCAATCCACCACGGTACTTCAGTTACAGTCACCATAGTTAGATACATTTTATGTGCTATGTATATCATCCATATTGCTGCTCTGTACTAAATAACCAAATGAAGATTGTCACTTCATTTTTAAGAGCAAAAACATCCAAAATCCACAATTTCTGTTTTCTGCTTCATGAAGCTTAACAAATTAAATTCATTTGGGTAAAAAAGAAGCACTATTTGCTGGATACCAATATGTCATATTTAAGCCATAAGCAAGTGATCACTCAGAGTCAGAAAAACAGAAATGGTACTGCTGCTGTGGTAAGAGAACTTATCCAAGAACAGTTTATTTTCACTGCAGTTGCCTTGAATAAAAAGGGAATAAGGAAGGGTGACATCCTTCTGTTAAAACATGTTAAGTTACTGATAGTTCTGGGGCAGCTAATAGAAGTGTTAGCCATAGTCTTCAAACCCTGGCTATAAACAGAGTAACCTGAAGCTGCAGAAAGTAATGCATGTAAAACACTTACTGATCTCTTGTCTGCACAAGTACTGGCCAAGAACCCTAGCAAAAGACCAAAGAGAGTTGGTAAAATTTCACGCAGCGTGCGAGGTGTGTTTGAGACCACAATCTTCCAGACATGCAAGGATGCCTGACGAACTACCAGCTGGGTATCAGATCGGCCCATGTAGAGCCCTGCTAGAACTCTGTTTCGTCGTTCCACACCAAGAGCATTGATAATAGCCTGAAATAAATAAAAGAAAAATCACTGAAACCAACACTGACATTTAAGAGGCACTGCCTATCCAACAAGTCACTCCAATAGGCTCTCTCTACAGATGGAAAGCAGCAGACAACAGCAGCACTTTACCTTGTTTGACTGGGCTGTTCCAAAGTTGTCATCCTCTGAGGCGGTTTCTGTTGTCATTTTTCCTGTGACACCTGAGATATGGAATAGAAGATCCCCAAGGAGCTGAACTGAGCTAAACCTGACAAAAGGGAGAACAGTGTTACATGAAGAAGAAAGAAGTCACCTGTCCAAACTGCCTGCTACTGCAAACACCACTGTGGGTGAAAATGTCAGTGTGAACAACTATGTGGGGTGGCATGAAAGATCATTATGTCAGTCTGACTGAGAAGGGGCATTGGAGAGAAGAAGGGAGGGAGGAAATTCCAAATCAAAAACAAGATTATACAGTTCTCAGATGGGGGCAGAACATCAGAGATTACAGTTTAGCCTAGACAGACAAGAAGCAAAATACAGCCACTAGGTACAATCATTTGAACATAGTTAATGTCTATAACAACACAAAGATACACCTGGGATACTACATGACTGCACTTCGAATACCAGCCATTTTGTACAACTGCTGCACTGGACATCACTTACTAGCTCTGATCAGGGTTCATTTACTTTCAGTTTCCATAACCAGTGGAATGTTTGCTCATACAGCAACTGAAAAATTAAAAGCTGTATGTCAGTGTTGGGTATTACCATAGAAACTGCTATGGAAATGCATTTTAAAATAGCCATCTGGTTAAGTGATCTAGTAGGAGTGTATTACACTATCAATCTGGAAGAAACAGGTTCTATATTCTAGCACAGGTTCTTGCTTTTTAAGCTGGAGTCCTACCCAGGCTTCAAACTTGGCCCACAAATGGACAGAGTCCCTGTGTTTTAAAGTAGCTCCTATGCTCCCTTAAGAAGTATCATGGAGATGCTTCAAATCTATCCTGTCTTTCCACTGATGGAAGGATGATGGCTGCATGATTAAAAACATATCTCCTACCTTATTCTCCAAAGGTCATCAAAAAGGCCTTGCTCCAGCTGAGGCAGAAGAAGTGCAATGGCAGTTTCTGCATACTTGCTTATGATTCTCTGTCCAGCACGAAGGGCAGTGTCCCGCACAAACTCATTCTCATCTGCCAGAGCCTAGACACAGAGAGATGACAAATGTGGTATTTTCTATGTAGAAAACAAAAAATGGCACTTTGCTTCTGCACAGTAGAACATGTTTCCTATTTCTCAGCCATTTTCAATAAGCTACAGCACACTGAATCCCCTAGGGAGACCTGAATACAGTTCCCACGTCACTGAAGTCAAAAGATTATTTAAGCAACATTAACAGAATTAGCTGTGGACAATGCTATACAAATCTGATCTCAGCTACCTACCTTAAGGATGCATGGTATGATTGGCCCAACGTAGGGAGTGAACTTGTTTCCAAAGGTAATGGGTAAATAGTTGAACATCATGATATATCCATCCCGGACATGGGGTGCAATGTCCACTTTGCTGGCAGTAGCTACAATTTCTGGCATAAGTTTCTCCAACTTTTCTACCCCCAAACCAGCCATGACTTCAGCCAGACCTAAAACACAACACTGTGTTACAGAACTAGTCAACATGCAAGTGGCTAGTTAGGCCTAACTGATTTAATGCCAGAAATTCCAACACCATTGCTCAGGCACTTGTTGCCCGCACCTTGAGCAGCACCAGATCGATCCACTGAACTTTGCTCATATGTCAATGTCTCCATCAGCCAGGGCAGCAAGTCCTCAAAGCATGACTCTCCCATGCCCTTCACCATGGCTCCTAATGCCTTTGCAGATACGGTACGTACCTAATGGGTAATAAGATAGAAGTGCAGGATTTCAACATACCCAGTCATAAACAAACTCATCAGAACAGACACAGAGGTTACCTCCTCCAAATCACCCTCTTCACAGCTGCTCTCACAGTTCTAACTAGACTACTGAGTGAAAGATTAGCATTTATCCTAATTCATCATGCTGAAAGATGAGTCATACTAAACTAGAACGGTTACTATACCAAAACTCACCTCAGGTACAGGGTCCAACAGGGAGGCTTTCAGTCCAGGGGTCACACTGGGCAGGTAAGGAGCCAGATCCTGAAACAAAATACCCAGTGAGTAAATGCAGGATTCAAAGAGAAAACTAAGCTACAATCTCACCTTCACCTGGTACAGCAGTAAGATACAGGTCTACTATGAGAGCATGACACACTGCCTACACAGCCAAGGAAGTAGATAAATTGATTCTAGTTTCCCACCTTGCTTTACCAAGCATTATCACACCACCCAGTCCTATGCTCACTCTTAACTTAACTTTTTGTTTCCTAAAGTAAATTTGACCTCTTTTCTCTTATGGAAGAGAGGGCAACCAGCAATGAATGAATCAAATAATCTTCAATTCTCACTTAACTCAATTTCTACCTCTGTTTTCCTTCTGTGAACAAAGTGAAAATCCCCTAACAGATTTCTGGAGCAATTCTCATTCAGTACAATTGTTTATCAAGTCTTCTCCAAGACCTTTCTGGGATATACACCTAGCACCAGCATTCAATGGTAGATCAAAGTAGAGAGTTTAAACATTTATAGCCTCAGCCACTCTAGGATTTTTCTTTTTTATCTCTACAGACATCATTTGATCACTTAATGCTCACATTTAGTTCAATGAAGAATCTGAACAGTTCCTCTAATTCCTACTCAAAGACCCAAAGACAATAAACTATTTTCAGTGTTCTGCTCTGCTAGCTCACTTTCGCTTTAAGTAAAATACAGATGAGGATTGGGGAGCTTTCCCCAGCACAATACCTTCTGATCAGTCAAGGAGTACATATTCCCAATGATCTGTGCAGCCATTTTCCTGGTGTCTGTGGAACGATCTTGAAAGGCTCTCTGAACAATGGGCATGATGAGGGCCAGAGATGGCGCATCAATGAAGTGGACAAATTTGGTATCCAGCAGGGTCTGCAGGCACTTCTGGGTCTTTCTGGATGGATCAGTGAGTGCATCCAAGAGAACCGGGGCAATTGCTACATATTTAGAAATGGGGTAGAAAAATGCTTTGTTTGTAACACATTGTCAGCTCTGGCCACAGATGGTATCCTCACACCCACCCAAAATCCTAAAGGATGAAGGAGAGAAGCAGCACAGGAACAACGGGAACCCTACTGAGGCCAGCTGACAAAACTGAGAGGAATATTCAGAAAGCCTTTAAAGGGGAGAGTTGCCTTGGAATTTTCAAGTTAAACCTTTCTAAAAATGGATCTTTTTAGTCAGGTCTCTATTTAAATTTGGGAGCAGTGATTCAATGCAAACTGAAAGAGTCTGAGAATAAAATGCATCATGGTGTTAAATCAATCACAGATGACCTGATTATGTTTCATATGTAGTGCAGCAGCTACCTGGACGCAATCAATTCTCTGTTTAAATATAGGAGCAGTGATTCAACGTGAATGCAAACTGAAGGAGTCTGGAAATCAAATATATTATTATGAATGAAGGTCACATCAGGATAGTGGCTGAACATTAGAAACACAGAAACGCATACACAATCATCAGGTTCTTACCCAAGATTTCTGGATTCCTGATAACAGACCCAATCTGTCTGAGTGCCTGCTGTCCTGCTTTCTGTACTTTTACATGGGAATCCGTGAGCACCTCAGTCAGTTTTGGCACAATATTTGGCAAACAGGAAGAGAGCTGTTTTGGGGCACAGTAAGCCATAGCTCCCAGCAATTCCACTGATCCTGAATACAAAATGAAAGAAAATTCATTTAGTGGAAAAGGGATTGGCAAGGAACTAGTCCAAGACACCAGAAAGCGCAGATTTTGGCTGAAGTTTTCTTTTTCTTTTTTAAAGCTACTGAACACATTCAAACATGCTTGCTCTTCCTGCTCTTAGGCTACCTCTTGGAAAAACAGAACATTCTGCTTATGTGAGGTTTGTGGACAACAGGTAAATAAAGTATTTATTCAGAATCTGTATGGTCAGCAGAAGTCCAATGAAAGAACAAGGTAGCACATCATTTGCTGGAATGAAGAAATATGCCAGACAAGTCAGCATTTCAGCAACCTTGGAGTTCCTGTGAGTTATATCAGTCAGACATTAGCCCATACCAGCTTTGGTTCTCCAAGAGTCCTCCTCCAATGCTGCAAGCAGCGATGGTAGAACCAGCTTCACGCCATGAGCACTTAAGTTGCTCATTACGGCCTTGGCACAGTCATCTGCAGCCTCAAAGAAGAAAATAAAACATTTATAACCTACTTCATTGCACATTTTCTCCTACTCTTTTGAAAATCCAATGGGAACATAGCCCTGGTGCAAAACAATTTCTGTCTATTTTTATGCTGGTAGTTGAGAGAGTCGCCCCTAACCATGAGATAATGCCCAACAGAGGAAGATGCTATGGGTTAAGAAGGAAATCAAGTTCTTCTAGCCTGCAGTTCACATAAGAGTTTGCTGCTGTTTGGTTTAAACAGTCAAAAAGGAGATAGATCTTTCATACTACTCCTGCCCATGTCCCTCTTACTCACCTCTCGTACGTACTGGTTCCCATCTCCAAAACAAAGCAGTAAATGTGGCAACACATGAACCACATAGGGCTCAAAGAGCTTCCCGAGCATGCTGCAGAGCATTTCAAAGGCAAACAGGGCCCCTGAAGAAACAAAGCATAATTAGGAAATAATCCAGAACTCGGAACGGGGTGGTAAGCAGAGTTCAGGTTGGTCTATGATCTAATGACTCCTAATGTTCTGTGGGAAACTCTGGCCTGAAAACCTGCTGCCTTTTATTTTCTTTCCTTGACCCCAACAGAAGTGCTGGCTATGAGACTCAATTTCCAGAAAATGCACAGAGCCTGACAGCATTAAACATATGGTTATGCTCAGTGTGAGGGAAGGAGACAAAGACAGCAAACATCCAGAAATAAATGCAACTGAGAGGCCTTATAAACCCACTGGCCCTTTGGATTAGATAATGTCCTATCCTGCCTGGCAGGAAGCAGGAGCCTCCCTCTCAATGCAGCCTTCTGGAATAGGAGTGGGGAGAGCTAGCGCATGTTCCAGGCACCAGAACTCCTCTATCTACTGTGCTGTGATTGGGAGGGGGGTTAAAACACCATACAAACGAAATCAAAAGCTAATTGATTCTTCACTCTAACAGTATTAGGAGAGAGATAGAGAAAGATATCTAGGAGCAGGAATTCCTTTGCAAGTCAATCAGTTCTTAAGGAACTGGCTGAAAGACAGAAACGAGCATGTCAGGTATCAGAGTCACTAGACCAAAGAGACACCTTCAAAGTTTGGAGAGAAGAGCGCCTGTCCCTCACCCTCTCGCCGGCGGAAATTCTTCTTATCCTGGATGGCATCAGTCAGAGTGGTCATCATCTCCTGCTGCTTAAGAGAGAGGATGCCAAGGCCTTTCACCAGGCCTGCCAGCCCATAAGCAGCACCTCTGCGCTCAGCATACTTATCAGATTCTAGGAGCAGTTGCATTAGCTTCTGTATCATTCCACTTGCATCCTCTTTAATTGCAGGCACAAGGGGTGGTAAACAGCTTGCCACAGACTCCTGGACCTGTGGAATAACCCACCAGTCAGCAGTTTACCAGGCAGATCACAAGAGGTATGTCACTAGCAGAATTACATACTCCCCAGTTCACATGATTAATCCACCAGGCTTCACCCCAAATAACAGTCTTCAACTTCTTGTATCTGAAACTGAACACATATTTGGTCTAAAATTGTATACGCTTAAAGAATACACATTCCCTTTAATTGCACAGTACTCTGCTGTGCCTCTATCAGTGATATCCAAGCACAGTGATAACAGTGAATGATGACAGCACCTACAGTGTCAGTTAACCTGCTTCTACTTGGCTCCTGAAATTCTGAAAGGAGGTACCTGTTGAGATGGAGTAGACAAAGCTGTTATCAGCTTGGCAACGATAGGTTTCACTTTAGGGTCGCTCTTATCCAGATGTTTTGCCAGTGAGCCCATCAGAATGACCACGCTCTGTCTGACGGCATCATAACTGGCATCATTTGGAGCAATTTTCAGGAACTTTTCAAATACTGGCAAGAGACAGTTAACATTTTCCTAAAAAAAAAAAAAAAAAGGAAAATTTGTCACTAGAGTCCAGAATGAGGCCTTCTGTGCTGTGCCCCTTCTCAGAGGCAGACTTCCTCATCTATATAATTATGAGAGACTGCATTTAGTATTTAAGACTATATGCTACCCTACAGCAAGAGTAGGCAGCCTATGGCCTGTCAGCCAGATTCAGCCTATGGATTTGGGAGGGCCTTAGTAGCACCATGCAGCAGTGGGAGACTTCAATGGTGGGGGCTTTTACCACACTGCAGCCAGGTGGCAGGACGGAGTGGCAAGAGCAGTGGCAGTGACAGCAAAAGCCAGGTACTAGCACCAGTTCCCCTTGAACTCAAGCTTGGTCATTCTGGCTTGCTACCACAGAAAGGTTGCCAACTGTTGCCCTACAGACTACAGATATTTCCTGCCAGTCTGCTAACTATAGCGTGCACTATATATTAGTGTCCACTAAGTGGGAATGCTAGTTTGAATGGCAACCCTTATGCTCTTTTGCCCTAAATTAATAAGAGCTGGGAGTAGAAAAAGGAAAAATGCATCTTAAATTTCTCCTCTGCGGATTAAGGAACAGCACCAAATAGTGGTAAAAGGCTTGCAACTCAAGTTCCAAGCATCCGTGCTGTGAAGCTGGGCTTTGAATTTGGTAATCAATTTTTTCCTGACAGATCTCAGTGCAAAATACCAGAATTTTTATTTTTATCATTCAACATAGACCTATAATGCGCCATAGATTAAGATGCGGGCATTGTGAGACTCAAGAAATGCAAGTTATCCACATGTGATGCCTTGTCAGATACAGGCAGTTTCATATGGTTCTCAATGCCTCACATTAATGGCACTTACACCAAGCAACAGGTAAAAGATTTTTATGGGCTGATTCTGGTTTTATTATACCAATTTTACAAACTTTTGTCTCATCACTTAAATAGAATTACTCCCCATTCACACTGGTATAAGTGATTCTTGGTCAGGTACTAGTCACTCTTAGAACAACTCTGAAGATACACTAGAGAAAGAAATTCCCCTTAGATGAAGACTTCCAGCAATCACTTTGCACAAATGACCTTTACAAATGCATATTCTTCAAAACAACATCTAGGCCCTCCTATGTAATTGTTCCTATTTGGAAAGGAATGAGACCTCAGGATTTACCTTGCCATGGGTATTGAGTGTAGAAAGAGCTGCATCTAACATGCATTTCCGGACGTCAGGGCTGCGATCATTAAGGGCATCCGGCACGAAGAACTGAAACAGGGGCTTCACCTGCGAACTATCCAGGTGCTGAGAGAGTTTGTTCAGAGCCAAGGCTATACCACACCTATACAAAAAGTGCATTATGTGTGAACTGGGTTTCCAGGCCTCACATCAGTGTAACCTGTAAGAATGTATTTTGTGTCGCTACCATACCTCCAGTGCAATATATTTCGATTTTTGAGAGAAAACACTAAGTAACTTGAACATTTCAGATCATCACAACTCCTGTACTACCTACATGGAGGGCTGATATCAGAGAAGGAACAGCCATTTTCTTGCTCAACATGCTACCACAGGTTCCCAAACAGACAAATCTGCTATTTATGCAGCAGCTTTTATCCTGAATGATGACGTGTTTTTACACATTTAACCAGCACATAAACCCCAACGCAAGGACTACTTCATCTACCACTAAAATACAGCAGCTATATAGTAGTGCTCATAAGCCCTAAAGCACAGATTAAAGGCAGGCAGTGAACAATATGTTGTCCAATTAAAACTGCATAGGGTGTCTAAGTAGGCAGAATGTAATTATCCAAGTTGGAATTTGTCCAGTTCGTTAAACCTTGCACTGCTATTCTTGAAACAACTGACTGAACACAGAACAGAGGCTGGGAATCTAGTGATACAAGCTATAATGAATCCTTTTACTGGGGAAAGATTCTGTTCTTGTCAAAAGGACAGGGATGACATTCTGAAGTCCAATTGTCTGGTGAATTTGAAAACATTCCAGAATTGAACACATAAGACTGTACTGCTCTGTCCAGTCTGTTCAGAGAGGCACAAATGTCCCCAGACAGGGGGAACCATGCAGTCAGCAGTTGGTAAAACTATCCACATTTTACCTCTCAAACACTTCCCTAAACCAAATGCTGCCCTCTGACCTACAACAACATGGAAAAGGTCTGAAGGATCTCATCCAGGCACTGTTGGAAATGAAGGCCTGAACCTGAAGGACAGTACCTTGCTTCCCACTGGTCAGGTGGCGATTCAGATATCACACGTCCCAAGGCATCCAAAACTGGAGGTGGCCTCTGTGGGAGGGGAGGAGAAGGGAGAAATAGAGCTGGTCAGTCAGAATGCTTCCCAACAGATATACACCAGCACATAAAAGGAAAAAAAATCAAGTTCTATAGCAGACGTTTATTACCAGCTTGCCCAGTTCCCTCTCCTTGGGCTACAAACACATAGATTCACAATGCCTCCATTTTACATCACAACTTAAAGAAACATCAGACATTTAACAACAACAGCAGAATGCAGCAGGGGAGTTCTGCACTTATGATGCTAATTTAGGAGTTAGGAGGCCCAGTTCTAAGTCTCTGCCCTGTTACAAGCTTCCCACGTGAACACAGGCAAGTCACTCAGCCTCTCTATGCCTCAGTCCAGTGAATGCGGATAACAACATTCCCCTCATATAAAACATTCCCAAGCACTCAGACAGAACTGCAATGGGTACCATGTAAATATCTGAGTAGACAATGAAGAGACAGACTGAAAAAAAAAAGGCATAGGTGTGTCTCATGCCTGTAACCCCACACAACAGCTACTTACATAGAGTTTTTCCTGGTAAATCTCTGTCAGTTTATTCATGACATCTGCTGCTTGGTCTCGATATTGAGCTACAGCTTTAGAAAGAGCCTCAGCACCAGCTTGGCGCACTGCTTCTTCATAGTAGATAACATCTTTGATCAGCAAGGAACAGAGATCAGGCTGCAGCTCCAGACCCATGGACTCCCACAACCTGTAGGTAACACGAGCAGATGACAGATTATTCTCCTCCACACACAATACCAGACAGATCAGAAGTCGCCCTCCATTCAGGAGCAAGACCTATACATGTCTGAATAAGAGCTCCACATGGAACGCAAAAGAGAAATCACTGTTACAGTACTGAACTGAGAACAGCTCCCACCTCTCTGCTAGTTTTCGAATTTCATCTTCCACATCAAACTTGACCACCCAGAGCCGGCGCAGCAGATTCAGTCCATTCTTTTCATCACTGTCTGGGGTTGGTAGCACCATCTGCATCTCCATCAGTCCCTAGGTAAAATTATAGGTCAATCAGCGCAAGTACTTGGTCTCAGCAATAAAGCTTTTCTCAGAAATGACCTTGTGTCATAAACATAGAAAACCTTCTGCATAAAAGGAAGAGAAGGTTTCATTCAATTATTTCTTTTGAAGAATATCACAAAGCTATTTCCATTTTGCCAAAGGATGTTGCAAATTATACAAAATGGGTGCCTGGGGTTGGGCAATGGGAAGCTGCTTCAGCTTCTCCACATGCATCCCATCTCAGAGCCAAGCAGGAGGTAAGCACTTAAAGAACTAGCTCAGCAACTCAGCAAACAAAAAACACTAAATAGGACTGTAGGGTTGGGAAGTCAATCCCTGTAGTACAACAAAAAGCAACGTAATTCTCCAAAGCAAGATGATGCTAGGGATTTGAAGACAAGAAACTCAAGACAGAGATCATTCTTCCTTTGCCTTTGATGTCTTCAGATAGACTGTAAAATTCTAGGATAAGATACAGCAAACAAAAAGCTATATAAAAAAAGTTATAGGCGCAAAGTTAAGCACACAGAAGTTAGGAAATGCCAGAATTACTGTTTGCCTGGGCAGCCTGACATACAAATGCTGACCATGGGCTCCACAATTACTTGCTGAGGGCAGAGACACTGACATTCAGAAGCACTAAATTACTGCCCAGGTTCCAAGGGGGAACGTATCCCTAGTGCCTGCAGACCCTTCTGCCAATCATCTTCAAACCTCTTCTTCTGCTCCTATTCTGTGTCCTGCCTTTGTGCTAAGTCCTAGGTTCCCTCACTCTTCCAGAGCCCCAAACCTGCCTGGTTTCAGGATCCCAATTCCCTCACTACAAGTCGCACCCACCTCATGACTCCCAGTTCTCTTCTTCCATCCCTTGATCGACCAGTCCCAGTCTTCTGCCCCACCTCTCTCACCCCTTGTCCCAATCCATTCTCTCTACATCTCACCCCAGCTCATCTTTCTACATTTGAATCGGGAAGCCTCTTCCTGCCTGCTGCATGCGCACCTGCAGAGGTGAATAGAGAGCAGTCTGACTTCCTGCATCTCATGTCAATGGCCCACACAACAGGCAGAAACAGCAATTGCAGAAACAATCCTGCTCAGGGCCTAATTCCCTGGGATGGAACATGCCTGGTACAGACAAAACCTACAGAGGTTATAGCTACTAAGCATGTGCAAAGGGGATGTCTCAAAGGCCAATACTTGGGCCAAATTTGGGCAGTTTTTCACTAGCATAGCGAGAGGCACATCCCTGATGCCAGAAAGACTCCTCCCTCTCAAACTACAAGGCCCTGCACAAATACTTGGGTTTCTCAACAAGGGGAAGTGTTCATGTGGAGAGGCAGGTTTCTTCCAAGGCAGAAGCAAGAGTAGAAGGTGAGAACTACCCCATGTTTGCAGATATACTAATTAGCCTGCTCCAGCAACCTCAGCATCCCCACACATCAAAATGGTGGCAGGGGCACTTTAACTAAAGCACCCTTGCTCCATTTTGAAGCGCAGGATGCTGAACACACAAGACTCTGCAGGCGCTTTAATTACAGTGGTTCCCAACAGCCATTCTAATTAAAAGCACCACCCTCTCACCCCTGGAGCATGTGTAAAGATACATCTAGTGCAGCACCTTTCCTGAAGTTACCTGTGTTTTAACTGTTCATGATGGTAACACTCAGCAGCTACCATCTCTTCCTAAAGGGAGCCTGACAACTGATGCAACACATCTCAATCATGGTGCTGGAAGAGAAGATCCATCCCCCAACCTGTGCAAGGGATTAAAGAGCCCCAGATCCAAACAGAGAGATGGAATGAGTGATTCACACCTACCCTGAGAGCAGCATCACGCACATTCATGCATGGAGACTGCAGAGCCTGAAGTAACACATCAATTTCTTCTTGTTCTGCGTAGGCACAACCATCCTCCCCGCTACTGCTCGTGCACAGAGCTGTTAGTGCATTTGAAGCAAGAACCTGAAACAGTCACAAGGCACAAGAGATTCTCCTGTTGACTCCATCCCACTGCACATCAGGCACCAAGTGCAGATGGAATCCCTACTGTTTTACTACAAAGAAAGGAAACCTGTCAAAGCGCAACATGCTGCCTGGTGAAGAGCCAGATTTGACAAGCTCAGGTACCTTTTTTGCTTGTGGATGAGGGAAAACTTGTCTGCCTCTCCCCACCATTGTCCTGGCCAACAGAATGATCAGTATAGTTGGACTATTAAGGGAGCTCCACCTAGAGTTCTTTGCTGGAGAGACAATGACCACTACAAAGGGCTTGAGAGGAAGTAAATAGAATACCAGTTTCCCTCGCTTTATGCTGTACATGCATTCCTGGAAAATGATGCATAACTTCAATTCGCATAAAGGGAACCCACTTTACAGTATAACAAATAGGGATACTTCCAAGACCTCGACTGTACTGACCCCCAGACCCATTTCTACCACTTTTAAAGGACAATTTTGGTACTCACCAACAGCAAGCAGTACACACAAGCACAGGGCACTATCATAATGGGGATGGCAACTACAGAAACAAGTGTCGCAGAAAACAAGCGAGGAGCACAGATCCACACAGGAGACTATATTTTGGTGTGCATCACTCCCACAACGCACCGCACAAAGCAGCTGATTGCAGGCTTCCACCATACTGATTGCATCAGAGTGAATTTAGTTCACATACAATTAATTTTTGGTATAAAAAGGGTCATTGCATAAGACCCAATTCGCACATACAGAACCCACATGAAGTGAGGGAAACCTGTAAACCTGGAGGAAATTGGGGAAGATTAAGTTGGTCCAACTGAGGCCTTGGGAAGAATAAAGCTTTTTATCACCAGGAAAATACTGGCAGTGTATAAAAACAAGTGTGTGAACAGGAGTGAACCACTGTCTAGAACTGATGGGTGCAGCTGAGACTAGGACCTTACTACCAGACCAAGTGGGCATGCAGCTCACCTGTAACCGTGGAGAACCTGTTCCAATCACCCGGGTCAGCAACAGTAGCATGTCTGTGCGAGGCAGTAACTCGGGGCCATTCTGGGAAGGGAAGGACAAAAACTTCAAATACACTATCACTTCAAAACAGACTTCTGTAAACATAACCCCCATACTCTAAAAGGTAACACAATTAAAATCCAGTGCTGGTTAGTTGTTTGGGAAGGAAGGTTACTCACTCCAGCTCCAGCTGCTCTGCTGTACCAGTGAGAGAGCAGAATCATTTAAATCCAAACCTGGGCAGGAATGTGTATGGTTCTTTTCACTCATTAACATTCCCAAGGATTAACTGAAGCAAATCCATATGCAAAACAGCCAACTGATCCAGCTTGGGATAGTGACCTTAGGTAGGCAGCTTGACACCAGGGTATTTCAAATGATAGGGAAAGAGGCACCTTAAAAATACTTAACTTAGAGGTTAGTGAAGGTCTCCTGAAGGGTAAGCAGGATTTGATTTAGTTATTTCTGAACATTAACAGGGACAATGTGGTGGCTCTGCAAAACTCTCTCCACAGGTTTGCTGCTGAAGAGTGGAAATTTTAGTAACCCCCCATAAATACTGACCTCATCCACTAGCGAAGTCTGGCCATTTGCTGATGATCTCATCTGAGCATGGACCATGAGGATCTGAAGAATCCTGACCATGAGTTCTTCCTTCTCTTCACTATCATTGGGTGTCTCAGTCAGGACTGTCTTTAGAAGAGGAAAGACTAAGGAAAATGCTGGAGCTGATAATGCACCTGCAATGCAATGAGAGAAAATATTCAATGACAACAGCAGATACCCCTGGGTCTTTGTTTATAGATATTTACTGGCTTAACGTTGATATTGCAGCAGCACATAAAAGCCACAACCAGGCTGGGAGTTATTTGTGCCAGGCACTCTACCAACAGGCATAATTAAAAATCCAGAGAACCTATAATCTTGAAAAGACAAAACATAGAAAATGTGCCGGGAAGACAGGAAAAAGATATGGTCAGATTTACCATCTACTGGCAATTCGTGGCCCTTCACAATCAGCAATCACAGCCTACCACCTGCCAGTTATCATCAAGCTGCAATTTCATGTCAACCTCTGTAGCACTCTAGGACTCTCTGAAATGCCTAAGGGAAGTGTTGCTGCATTTTGGACTAGTGGGTTTGCTTACAAAAAAGTCACATTAGGAGTTTCCAGCACTTAGATAGTGCAAATACCAAAAAAACAAGAGAAATAACTGACATTCAGGAGATTAAATGGAAAAATAAATTAGATGCTGAGACCTTGTGTACGTGAGGGCACTCAGGAAAATTTATTTCAATGAACTAAAGATATAAATTTAGGGTAGTGACAGACATGGAGGGGTGAGGAGGAGGAAGAGGGGGGAAAGGGAAACAAAAGATATGGCTTTACCATAAGCAGCAACGCATCAGTTCACCCTATCTTGGCAGTGCCTGTATAGATTGAGGGCTTCAGCAGGGCTTTTTTTGCACTTTTAGTTAAAGCTGATTCTATCAGATATTAGATAAAAGCACCAAAAAAACCCAACTAAGGTTCCCAATCTATACAGACACTGGGAAATCTGTGTGCAACTAATCCACTGTCTCTTCTGGACATGTGCTGGGCTCAGTGCAGGGGAACGCAGGGTTTAAATTAAAGTGTTGTTTGTTTGTTTTTCCCCCAACATCTGCAAGCAGACTTGAAGTGGATTTGTTAAACTGACTTAAAGCCATAGTTAGACACTGTGGATGTGTCCACATGTGCACTTTAACGTACAGTAGCCTATACTATTGCACATTAAAGCACAGCATAAAAAAACAGTGCTATTACAATTATGTGCAGTAAAATAGGCTACTGAGCATTAAGTATCACACAAAAAGTGTGCACTTGTGCTACTGCGCACTAGGACAGCCTAATTTGCATTAATTTAGTCCCTTACATTGGAGGTACTAAATTTAAATCACATGTATAGATGTGCCAACTCATTCACAATTAAGGTGAATTAAGCTAAACTAATTGAGGCTGCTAATTCTGAGTAAAAGTATCTACGCTGGGATTTAATGCAATTTAACTAATCTACTTTAAAATTAATTTGTTTCAAAATAGACAGCTTGGAGTTCACATTCAGAATTGTATTTCATTTATGCTGTACCCACTATCCTAGCCAGTCTATTCCCTCATGATTTCCAAGCAGATTTTAGAGGGCAAAGATTCAGTTAACTGTAGTGCAAGACTCGACAAAAGACAAAGTTTCCAGTCACTTGCTTCCATAGCGAATCAGCACTAGGACAGCATTAAACAGATGCTTCTCTCGGCCAGTCTGAAACTGAAGAGGGCTGAGAAATGAGGAGCAGTATTCCCCTGCAAGGTGGTTAAAAAACACATACACAACATAATCACCACTGAGCAGGATTCTTTATCACTTATTAATTGTTCAA